GTTGGGATTACAGGTGCCCACCACCACATCTGGTTTTATGCTATGTAGGGGACCAAACCCGTGGCCTAGAGCATGCTAGGCAAGTACTCCACCAACTGAAACACATCATACTCCAAGTTTGAACATTCCATTACTGGGGACCAAGATGGAAGGAGCGTTGTGAAGTGTAGGGCCCTGGGCCCCGTTTTGGGTAGCTGTTGCCTTGCTTGCCCACCTTGACCAGATGTCCTCCCTATGCTGATTCCCTGCCGGTTTCCTTCTTGAACACTCACCAGAGGTTCTTTGTTTGTGTATCCTGCATTTGGTGTAAACAGCTCAGATGCAAGAATGTAGAACATCAGTAGCGAACTTGTGACCTCCAGGGATCCTCCATTGTGCTGTAAGCCTGTATTTAAGGTTTCCTCCCTCCTTCAATAAAGGGCACTCTGCATTCTGCTGAGGCGAATGACCCGCTGTTTCTTGTCTCTATGTTTTTAATCCACAACCCCTTGCTCATACATGGTGAACGGGTGGTGGTAGTGCGGGTGCTACCGCAACAGTGAAGTATTTGAAATGACAAGAAACGGAAGGAACACTGCGTCTTCTGAATGCTAGGCCTTGCGGAGTCTCCCCTTCCTCATTATGGGTGCCTCTCGCTGCGTTAGAGCTGCGTTAGCACTCTATTAGTTGTGTTAAGCTGCTGGTAATGTAAATTGTTTGTGCTGATGACGATGAAATTGAGTATTTCCCTTTGGAGTCTGACTAGTTTTGCATGTTCAATTCATTTCGGCACTGACCTCTATTGTGTTTTGCTTTTGAATATCCTTGAGCTGGCTTTCTACTCCGTTCTAATTCCTGTTCCTGAAATCATTAAAATGTTCTTTACATATCTTTATTTTTGTACTATATTCATGTTATTTTTGTTTTCAAAAAAGGTTGTGTGTGGTATATATGTATGGTATGTGTAGCGTGTGTGTGTGTGTGTGTGTGTGTGTGTGTGTGTGTGTATGTGAATGTGTGTGTATGTGTATGTGTGTGTGTGTGTGTGTGTGTGTGTGTGTGTGTGTGTGTGTGTGTGTATGTGTATTACAAAATTCCAGGTCCATTACTGGAAAGTGAGGCTAGTTCCTACGGATTATTCTCTCCACATTCAGTGGACATCAACTATCTAGAAGGCATTGGAAACATAGTCATGAATAAGAAGATGCTTTTTATGACCCAGAGACCCTTTCTTTCCTATTGAGTGGTCTAGTGACTCATTTTCTCACTACAAACATTATATGTAACAGATCCACCGTTAGGATTGTAACTTGGCATATTTGAACTGAATAGTTTTTCCAGCCTGACCTTTAGGCCTTTCAGACACATTTAACAATGCTGCTCTGGGAAAATGCTTTTTGCATTCTGAAGAACTTTCTGTTGACTAAACAGAAACCATAGTAACTTTGCCTCAGCTTTTCAAATAACTTCTGGCTATGACAAGGTTAGAACTAACCTGCAAATGAATTTTTAATTACTATGTTACTGTACTGAGAACTGTGAACATTACCCATAGAATGCACTTATTTTTCCAGTGATATCATCACTGTTGAGAATGTTTTTATTAATTCAGATTGCCTTCAAAGGTAAAAGAACATTTAATAATACTTGAATGCAGATTTTCATCCATTTAAGGAGGATGTAAATTTAGAAAGAATTTGTCTTGTTGTACAGATATGAGACTATGGGTAAAATATGATGATTTAGATGCTTCTTTTTCAATTTTGTCAAGTCTTTTACCAAAGGAGGAAAATTTGTCTCAAGGTCTTTAGCACTGTGATGAAATACAAAGTGTTATGCATAGAAAGCTGAATAATATTGCTATTCCTGATCCTCTGCCTCATGCCAGATGGTGCTGCTATTGGTGATATGAAGTGTATTAGCATCAATATATAACATATATGCCTCAAATTGTTTAAAGATAGGTCTGTATGTGTGTGCAGATTTTTGAAATTTACAATCCTGCATTATATATTTACCTGAATTTTCATTTTATATATAGTTGTTTAGTAGAGGTCGTCTTTGATGCAGAAAGAGTCCCCATCAGTAGGGGTGAAGCCTCTAGTTAGGGACCAGCTTCACTTCTCTGTGTTCAGTAAGAGATGTGTTCTCTTCAGAACAGGGCGTTACTGTCATCTTGTGGAGAGCAACCGGTAACAGCCTGCGATGTTTGAAGGTTTCTAGCTAGGTCTGACAGAACCCACAAGTGTTGAACATTTCCTAAGTGTTTCTCAGACATCTGGGGTTCATCTTTGGGGAACCGTGTTTAGTTCTGCACTATGCTTTTTAATTGTGTTATTTGTGTGCTTGATGTCCAGTTTTTGTGTTGTTTTCTTTCATTTATTAGTTATTTATATATTTTAGAAATTAACTCTCTATTGAATGTGTAATTGCTGAAGATCTTTTCCCATTCTGTAGCTTGTTAGTCTGTAGGCTGCTGCTTGGCCAAAATGATGGGGCCCTGCCGTACTGAAGCTTTTCAGTTTCATGAGGTCTCATTTATTAATTGTTGATCTTAGTGCCTGTGCTATTAGTGTTCCCTTCAAAAAGGCTTTTCCTGGGCCATTAGGTTCAAGGCTGTTACCCACTTTCCCTTCTACCAGATTCAGTGTATCTGTTCTGAGGTTGAGGTCCATCGTCCATTTGGAGTTGAGTTTGGTGTAAGGTGATAAATATAGATCTATTTGCCTTCGTCTACACGCAGCTATCCAATTTGACCAGTACCATTCTTTGAGGATGCTTCCCCACCCCCGAGTGTGTATTTTTGGATCTTTGTCAAAAATCAGGTGTTTGTAGGTGTGTGGACTTATGTCTGAGTATGCAATTTAATTCCATTGGTCGAGGAGTCTGTTGTTATGCTAATGCCATGCTGTTTTTATTATTACAGTTCTGTAGTACAACTTGAGATTGGGGGTGGTGATACCTCTAGCGGTTCTTTTTTATTCAGGAGTGTTTTCGTTATCTTGGTCTTCTTGTGTTTCCACATGAAGCTGAAAATTGTCCTTTCAAAATGTTTTCCTTTTGTTGTTGTTTTGTGTGTGTGTGTGTGTGTGTGTGTGCGCGCGTGTGTGCGTGTGCGTGTGTGCGTGTGTGTGTGTGTGTGTGTGTGTGTGTGTGTGTGTGTGTGTGTGTGGTGGTGTACTCTTCCCTGGAGATGACTTCTCCTTCTCTCAGCATCCCTTAACTGCCTAAATGGTTCTCTATGTAGGGTCCAGGCCTTGTGGGCTTTCTCCCACGTTAACAGACATTAGCATGTCTATTAACGGCATCCTTGTTCAGATCATGTTTAGGCAGTCATGCTAGTGAGACTTTATGGGTGTAGCTTCCGACATTCCTAGGAAACACAATCTCACAAAAAACTCCATCTCTCTAGCTCTTAACTCTTCCCGTCACCTCTTCCACAATACCCTGTGCCTAGGCTCAGGGGTTGTTTTGTAGATGTATCCATTGGAACTGGGCTCTACCACTGCATCTTGATTGGCTGTGGGTTCTGGAAATGTTATATTCTATTATAAAGACTTTTTGTTCTAGGTATGACATCTGTTTTCTCCTAGACTTTTAAATTTGTTCACACGGCACTAACTATACAGAAATGAATATTTCTATGTGAATAAATATGTGACTTTCCTCAGTAGAAATTTATAGTTCTTTGTATTACTTAGGAATGCTTTTGTTTCTCAGGAAAACCAATAAAATAATAACTACTGCTTAAGAAGGATTAAATCTTCTCCGTCCCCTTAATACAAATGAGAAATCTTATTTTTAAATAAAAATCCATTTAAAAATTATGGATATTCAAAAGTCCAAATAAAATATAAATTACTGTGACCATATATTAAGATAATAGTACACTCATATTAAGATAATCGTCTATTCCAGCAATATAACTATCACCTCATATGTAGAAATCTATTCATTCAACTTATCATGTGAAATAGGCCAAACATGAAAAACAACTATACATTTCTGTAGGCTAGGAATGACCAACTCTGTGGTACCACAAACACTGTAAGTGAACTAGGAAAAAGAAATGAAAGTGTTTTTGAAAACACAGTATTTGCTGAGGGACATAAAGACTTGACCAACTATAGAAACCTCATGCTTATTTAAAAACACAATTCTATTAAAATGTTTAATTCCCTCAAATTAAGGTGTAAATTTCACTTAATACTAAGCAGAGTCCAAATGAGACAATAAAAATAAAATTGTGGTATAAAAAAACAAAACAAAACAAACAACCCATTGAGTTGTATCTACCCGCCGTTGCTGGTTTTCATAAAGGAGGTGTAGCGTTAGTCCCTGTCCAGATGTCCAGGGCTGATCCAAGTGTTTACAGATATAGAAATATGCCATCGTTAATAGAGTATCCCTTGTCGAGACAGCAATGCCTGTGGGTTGGTAAAGGGCATGGAGATAAACTGTAGTAGAATATTTTAAGGTGTGTTATTTTTGCTCATGTTAATTTGTTTAACTCTGTGAAGCTGTGTTACTGTGCCTGTGTAAAACACCTAATGGTGTAATAAAGAACTGGCCAATAGCAAGACAGGAGAAAGGATAGGTGGGGTTGGCAGGCAGAGAGAATATATAGAGGGAGAAATCTGGAAGAAGAGAGCTAGCAGCCAGAGAAGGAAGAGGACACCAGGGGCCAGCCACCCAGCTACACAGCCAGCAAGCCACGGAGTAAGAGTAAGATTTACAGAAGTAAGAGAACAGGAAAGGCCCAGAGGCAAAAGGTAGACAGGATAATTTAAAGTTAAGAAAAGCTGGCTAGAAACTAAGCCAAGCTAAGGCCAGGCATTCATAATTAAGAATAAGCCTCCATGTGTGATTTATTTGGGAGTTGGCCCGCCAAAAAGAGTAAAAACTTCTAACAACAATAAACCACTCTGGAGATGGTATCAGGGAACAGTGTCTGCTTTATTGCATGTAAACAGCTACATGTACAGTAGAAGCCTATGGACAGTGATTGGTGAGCACATTACCTCCGATTGGACAGTGAGTGTTCACAGCACCAGGGTCTCTAAAGACGTCCGTAAAAGGAGACGTGGAGAGTGCAGACTCCTCTGCAGGCCAGCTACTGGCTGCTCATGCTACTTCAGAATTCAGTGTTCTGACTTCAGGAGCATGGTGTGCCATGCTTCTTATTTAGAACTGCAGGCTGGCTGCCAGGCCATGCCTGATTTTCTCCTACAGAGATATAATATTATTAGATTTATTATCTCAAAACATAATACACTCCAGGTTCATCCATTTGGGTTTTTTTTCTTTTTCTCTCTCTCTTTTTTTTTAATTAAGAAATTTTTTTTCATTCATTTTACACAGCAATCAAAGATCCCCCTCTTCCCTCCTCCTGCCCCCAGCCTCTCCCTCTCACCCACAATATTTTTTCTTTTTATAACATAATTCTCTGGGAATGCCACACCATGCACCCGCCCACCCCTAGTCCTGCCACATCTGCCCCCTACCCCTGCAGCGTCCTCCTCAAACAATTAAAAACAAAACAGACAAAAACTCACCTTGCTCCTCTGTCTTTCCAGCCCCCCAGCACCTCCTCATTCACACCAGTGGCATTAGGAGCTGCCGTGTGTCATGCAGTACACCCTGTCCAATCAGCCTACATTTGGTATTTTTATTTCTGCTCTCTCCCTGGATTCAGTTAAAATATTCTACTCTTTTATTTTCATGACACTGAAGTTAAAAAAAAATTATTTTATTTTGTGTGTGTGTGTGTGTGTGAGTGTGGGTGCATGCATGCATGCAGATGGAATTCTGATGCCAACTTGTGGTCAGTTCTCTTTCCGACAGGTAGGTTCCTAGAGGGATCCAGCATTGAAACATAAAAGCCTATGGGGTCATTTTCATTCAGACTATCAATTCCCACTCCCTGACTTCCACAGGCTTGTAGTCAAAGCATAATGCAAAATGCATTCAGTCCACCTTTAAAAGTCCTATAGTCTTTCAGTCTTAATATTAATTGTTTAAAAGCCCAACATTTCTTCTGAGACTGGAGGCTATCTCTTAACTGTAACTCCCTATAAAATAAAAAAGCCAGTTACATACTTCCAGCACAGAACGTACACCATCATTCCAAAAGGGGCACAATGAGGAAATACCATATAAATCAAAGTTGAAACTCAGCAGGGAAACTCCAAATTCTCTATCTCTATTCCTGATGTCCAAGGGCTTATAAGATATGGCTCTTTGGGTCTTGCACTCCTCCAGCTTTGCTGACTGCAATACACTTCTTTCTCTTGGGGTGGTTCCACACCTGTCTGCAGCTCTCCTTGGAAGATATCTCATGGCTTTAGCACCCCCAACATCTTGGGGTCTCCAAGGCAATCCAGGCTTCATCTTCACAGCTTCACACACGGTCTCTCAGGGCCTCCTTGTCAAATGCCTGATCTCAGAGGCATTCCTTAACCATCAAGGAAGGTCCCATAACCCGAAAGATCCCATGACCCCTTTCTTGTATCCTTCTTGACTCTAAATCCAAAATCATGTGACTGAAGCTGCCAAGTTCTGCTGCCTGTTAGGGCTAAAACCTGGCCCTCTCCATGGCTTCATTTGCATAAGCTTTAAAAGACTAGTTGATGTCCTTTGCTCCATAGGCTTTCCTTTTTACAAGCTGCAGGATTAGGTGGGTGTGTTGTCCTGAGTATACCACTCCCTTTATTTCAGTTAGCATCAGGCTTTCCTTCAAGCTCCCCACCCCCTTAAGAAGGACTTGGCTCCAACAATTACAGCCTTGGTGTTGCTTTTCTCCTCAAACTGTACATTTTGTATTTCTATTTGTCCCTCTTGCTCCTTCCGCTGTAATTCCATATAAGAAGCTGTCTTGAAATCTCCTCCCACAGTGACATTAGCTCAGGACTCTTCAATTTAGCCTCAGGCAGACTTTTAGAGCAAGGGCAAAATGCAGCTACGTTCTTTGCCACAATATCCTAAGAATGGTCTTTAGGCCACTCGCTGAAGTTCTTCCCTTCTGAAACCTTTTAAGCTAGGCTGACACAGTCCACATGGCTCTCACCATTATTGTCTTCTAAGCACCTACCAATGTTAGGTTCCAAGCAGCTCCCCAAAGGTAAACCATCTAGAGCAAGGGCACCTAGAACCCATCAATTTGAACAGCCAGCATCAGCTCAAAGATCCAACCCTGTTGACTGTGAAAGGGCCCCAAAATAGCTTGACCACACAGCAGCCACGACAGGCTTAGGGGCCTAGACACAGCTTCTGTGACAGGCTTACTGGCAGGCAACACACAGATCCAGGGAAAGCCTCAAGCTGATACCACCCAGGGATCCACCCAGGTGTGAGGAAGTACCTGACATCCCAAACATTCTAACCTTTAGATAAAGTGGCCAGATGTCCTTGAGTCTAGCACACACCTATTTTTTGTTTTACAGATACCCCTAGACAATTGTCAGCCAATCAGGGTCCTGGACTGTGGAAATCCCCTCACCCCCAACCACTGCTATGATAAAAACTCTGCCCCACCTGAGCTCAGGGCTCTCTGCTCTCACTGCTGCATCAGACAGACAGAGGGACCAAGCTCTGGAGCTTGAAATAAAGGCTCTTTACTTTTACATATGGGATTCGGTCTCCGTGGTGGTCTTTTGGGGGGCCCTGCGATCTGGACACCTCATTGACTTATGTAAAATCTGCTCGTTTTCCCACCATTTGTCCCTCCCACCCTGAGGCAGCCTTGGCAGTCTGAACCCCAATAAACTTTCTCTCTATTCATGGAGGAGTCTAGTTCAGTGGTCTCAGGGTACCTTCACTTACAACTAGGATGGCCCACTGAGACCCGCTTCAAGTGTTCAACCGCTTTCCAGGCTTTCCAGAGCCCCAAAGTCTTCCACATTTCTCCAGCTAACAGCATGGTCAGTCTTGCTACAGGAATACTCTGTTATGCCCAGATCGCAGGGATCCCCAAAAGACCACCACAGAGACCGAATCCCATATGTAAAAGCAAAGAGCATTTATTACCTTCAAGCTCCAGGGCTTGGTCTCTCTGTCTGTCCTATGCAGCAGTGAGAGCAGAGAGCCCTGAGCTCAGGTAGGGGGGGGGGGGTTTATCATAGCAGAGGTTGGGGTGAGAGGATTTCCAGGGTTCAAGACCCTGATTGGCTGACATTTGTCTAGGGTATAGGGAATGTTTGGAATGTCAGGTATTTCCCCTAGGATGCAGGCCCCACTGGGTGGGGTCAGCTTATGGCTTTTCCGGGATTCAGGTGTTGCCTGCCAGAAGCTGTGTCTGGGCCTCTAAGCCTGTCATGGCAGCTGTGTGGTCAAGCTGTTTTGGGGTCCCTCCACAACTCCACTCATAAGTACCAACTTCTGTCTTTGTTACTGTTCTATTCCTCTGAGGAAACACCATAATGAAGGCAAGTTTTAAAAGAAAGCATTTAACTGGGGCTTGCTTACATTTTCAGAGGTTTAGTCCATGATCATCATGGCAGGGAGTGTGGTGGCGGATATGGTACTAGAGCAGTAGATGATACCTCACATGATCCACAAATTACAGAGGGGGGGGGGGGAGAGGAAGAGGGGGAAAGAGGGAGAGAGAAAGAGAGACACTGGACCTGGCACAGACTTTTCAGTGAAAATGGCCTCCAAAGGCTCATGTATTTCAATACTTGGTCCCCAGTGGAACTATTTGGGAAGGATTAGGAGGGGCAAAATTTGAGGTTTCAAAAGCGCACACCATTCCCAGGTGGCTCTCTCTACCTTGTTGTTGTCTCAAGATGTAAGCGCTCAGCCACTGCACTAGCACCATGCCTGCCTGTCTGCTACCATGTTCTCTTCCCATCACGATGGCTATTATGCCCAGATCACGGGGACCCCCAAAAGACCACCACGGAGACCTAATCCCATATGTAAAAGCAAAGAGCCTTTGTTTCAAGCTCTAGAGCTTGGTCCCTCTGTCTGTCCAACACAGCGGTAAGAGCCCTGAGCTCAGGGGCAGAGTTTTTTTTATCATAGCAGAGGTTGGGGTGAGGGGATTTCCAGGGTCCAGGACCCTGATTGGCTGACATTTGTCTAGGGGTGTCTATAAAACAGAAAATAAGTGTGTGCTAGACTCAAGGACATCTGGCCACTTTATCTAATGGTTAGAATGTTTGGGATGTCAGTTACTTCCTCACACCTGGGTGGACCCCTGGGTGGTATCAGCTTAAGGCTTTTCCTGGATCTGGGTGTTGCCTGCCAGTAAGCCTGTCACAGAAGCTGTGTGTAGGCCCCTAAGCCTGTCGTGGCTGCTGTGTGATCAAGCTATTTTTGGGGCCCCTTCACAAGGGTCATAGATTTACTGAAACTGAAAGCTCCCAATAAATTATTCTATAATTTGCCTCAGTCATGGTGTCTCTTCACAGTGAAAGAAAAGTAACTAATGCACAACTCAAGATGAAAAATATTCTCTAATTCTCTGAAAACGTGCCACCCTGCATCATTGACTATGTCCCCTCTTTGCCTCCCTACAGATTCTGGCAACCTCTGCTGTTCTGTCTCTCCAAATTTGCCTTTTTAGGAAAAGAATATAAACCAAATCATGCAGTAAGCAAGAAACCAATACATGTGGGAACACAGAGCATATTACTGCTTCTTAATGGAGATGGACCCACTACGTGGATGCCTCGGTGTTCACTTCCAGTGTCAGGTAGCTTAACAGTTACTGCAAATGTACACATAAAAGCTTGTGTGTGTGTGTGGGGGGGGGTGGGGAAACACCTTGACCACACAACTGCCATGACAAGCTTACTGACAGGTAACACCTGGATCTAGGAAAAGCCATAAGCTAACACCACCCAGGGATGGGCCAGCATCTAAGGGGAAGTACCTGACATCCCAAACATTCCAACCATTAGATAAGATTAGATAAGATCATCAGATGTCCCTGAGCCTAGCATACACCCATTTTCCTTTTACAGATACCTCTAGACAAATGTCAGCCAATCAGGGTTCTGAACCCTAGAAATTCCCTCACCCCAACCTCTGCTATGATAAAAAACACTACTACTTGCCTGGGCCTGGGGCTCTCTGCTCACATTGCTGTGTCGGACAAAGAGACCAAGCTCAGAGCTTGAAATAAAAGCTCTTTGCTTTTACATATGGGATTCGGTCTCCGTGGTGGTCTTTTGGGGGGGTCCCCTCGATCTGGGCCCGACAGTGTGAACATCTATTTCTTTTCTCTTGTGTAAACAAGATAGAGATTAAGAGAACAAACGGTACTATTTATTAAACTAAATTAAATTACATGACTTTTTGAGACAGAATTTCCCTCTGTAACTCAGATTGGCCTTCATCCTCCTGGAGCCTTAAAGCTTTGAAGTGCTCAGATTACAGGGGTAAACCACCACACCTGGCAGATTTCTTAAGAAATTAGCAACGGTTTCCCAAGGCAATTGTACCATTTTGTATTTCCATCATTGGTAAAGTTAATTCTCCCATAACCTTGCTATGTCAATAACTATAGTTATTGTAATAGGTTTTGCTGGAATCTCATTATGGGCTCAATTTACATTACTCTAATGGATAATGACATAGAGTTAAATGTTCCTGGGACAGGCAGGGATCTTTCAAAGCTGAGTGAGATTTTAGAAAGAATCTTGCCAAGTAGAAAGAATCTTGCCAAATAGAACATGAATTTGTCTTTCCTTTAGGTTCCCTGGTTTCAAGCGTATTCTTCTATGGTTGAGCTGCTGCCTTATTCTCCTCAGAAATCACCAGACTTTCCCTAACACTGCAAATCTGTACTTCTTTGTTTCGACTCAATTTTACCTCAAAGGAAAATACAAGCTACAGTTATGAATCATTTGGGTTTTCTTAAAATTATTGTGGCAGATGTGAGGAGCTTTACATTTCTGCCTTTCACCCTGTCTCTCATATATATGTATTTGTATAAGTTGTTTTTCCAGAAAATGCCTTCCATGTTCACGTTTTATTCCAGATACTATTATTCCCCCCATTAGTCCTCTCTTCAACGTTTCTCAGAGCAATTATCCTCCAACTTGATCTTAGCAAATACTCTCTCTAATGTGCCTGAAAAGGATTAATATTCTTCACAGACTATTTCCCAGAACTAAATCCATAAGAAGATACTATGAAGCATATCTTAATATCATTAGGAGGTAGAAAGGAATAGAAAGACAGCTAGAAATGAGGTTATTTCAGGGGTGAGAGGAGGCTGGTTGATAATGAAGTAGATGAAACAGTACGGAATAAGCAATGCAATTGAAAGTTGGTTTTAGGGTATGTTCCAGAATTAAAGTTCCTTTAGTAATAATGAATTTTCACCGTCTAATGACTGTGCTCCATAAAATTTCATCAGTGAAGATTTTGATCATTTAGTACCCTTACACTTTCAAAGTAAGTTCTATTCTTTTATTTAAAAAATGTATAATAATGTTCAATGTTGGTGATGCGAGGATATTATTTATCCATCCATGGTTGATATGGAAAATGAAGAAACTCAGTTTGGAAAGTGTTCTTCTGTATTGACAGCCTGTGAAAACAATACCTACCATGGTCTGTGTTTGTGTTACATATTACTAACTCAACAGAGATCACATCTCATTTAAAGTGCAAGAAAGATGTAAATTATTGAAAGAAATCTAACTCAGTAATGCTGTGGGCTGTTGATTTTTAACATGCCTTTTTAATTGTTTATTATTACTGTGTGTATAACATGTGTGAGAATGGCTCCAGGCGTGCCATGCTTGGCAAGTGGAGGTTAGACAACTTTTAGGGTTGGTTCTCTCTTTCCACCTTTACATTGGTTCTGGGGATCAAACTCAGCCCCTCTGGCACTGAGCCATGTTACTGGCCCTGGGCTGTCAATTTTTACATACATTGAAGAAAATAGAGATAAAATATACTTATGTCAGGGGAGTCACTTTTTCTGTGTCACACATGCAGCAAGGCTGAAATGAAGATATGAAGCAGCCATGAAAGGAAGCTACATAGGACACTGTGCTACCCAAGACAACAGTTCTTTCAGTAATTCCCTTCAAAGAAAACCCTGCAACTGACTTTACTCACCCGCAGTGTTCAGTTGTAACAGGAGAGGTAACTCTTAAGTTTACTGAACAACCAAATTTAGGGAATTATTCCCTCATCTACTTTACTAGTTGTGTTACAGACCACATTTAAAAATTTGCACCCTCAGAAGGAGGAGAAGAACTCACCTTCCAGGACTCAGGGAACGTCGGGGGGGGGGGCAGGGCGGGCAGGGGGATCAAGTGTAAGAGCAGAAAGATGGGGAAGAAGGCTGTGAGGTGCTGTCCTCTGGACTTGACAGGGCTGTTGCAGGCATGAACTCAAGGCAGCTGTGGTTACCTACAGAAGACCTCGACAAGATCAAGCTAGTTTCAAAGAGTAAATAAAACTAAGAAAAAATTTGTACCCTCATCTTAACAGAGAGTAAGCGTGGATTCCAAATAGGGATGACCCAGTTGCATTGTTCCATACTGTTGGTCTGGCTGGGCAGCACACATGAAACTACATTTAACATAGTAACAATAACCAATATGATGTATTAAAAAAGCAAGTAGAGCAGACTAAAAACTCAAGGTCACACAAGACAGCCTTGCTGATGTGCCCACGCTAAGCATCTTCCTAAAGGTCAGGGGAGCTAGTGCAATTTACGAGGTCATAGAGAACATATTACCAAGTCATTTCTTCCTTTTTGTTTTTCAAACTTAAGTGTGATTATTGTTTTTATTTTTAGAGAGGAAAGCCAACTAGCCTTTATTATAACCACAAAAAATTACCCATTCCCTATGTGTTGACAAAGACCAATGTCCCACCATTTAAACACAAGGAAAAAGTTCTGTACTCCAGGGACTATAAAGCCAGCAGGATCAGAGAGGACCAGAGGAGAGGTGAAGGCTGTAGTTGGTGGTCTGTGATGAATGGGAGTCCTGACACCCTTCCCTTGTCCCCTGCTTGCACCTGTCACAGAAGGGATTGCACTGAAGTTCCTTCAGTATGTGCATCCTGGTTCTGACTGTTTTATCTCTAGGTATTTGAAATGAGTTAAGAAGGGGCAATCTACTCATCACATTCAAGGCAGAGCAAGCATGTTTGGAACATAAATTTTTGGTTGACTATTAGAATAATACCACAAATTGTCAGCATGTGGTATTGGGAAAGTGCTTTTTTTTCTATTAAAGCATGTTTTTACTTTATTTATTCTGTGTCTTATATCATGTATCTTGATCCCATTCATTTCCCCATCCCTTCACATCTACCCTCCACCCCTACACCCCTCAAAATAAAACAAAATTTAAGAGTAAAAAGGGGAAAAAATTAAAAATCTCATTGTGGAAGAAGCTGTAGTATGACACAGTGAGTCACACAGTTAAACTCCTTTGTCCATATATCTTTACTTGCAAGTGTTCATTGCAAAGAGTCATTGGTCTGGTCTGAGGTCTCTGGTTTCTACTACATTATTGATGATGGGCCCTCACCGGAACTCTGTTCGGATATCCTGTTGTTGCCCTGTGTTGTGGAGATCCTGCAGCTTTGGGTCTGCAGGTCAGGTCCCTTCATGTGCTCCAGTAGATCACAGATGAGGTAGATGTTGGTGCAGGCCAAGCCATAACTGGTTCTGAGCATGGGGAGCTGTAGGGTTGGTCAGCCTGCCAGTTCTCCCCTGTCCTCATCACCAGGCTGAGCTCTCCAGCATTGCTGGGGCTAATTCACCTCTTGAAGCAATGAGAAAAGGGTGGGGACAGTTCTCCTGCTTTCACACCCTCAGGGGCAGCTCTCCCATACCCTACACCACCAAAGCTAGCTCTGTTGTGTTGCCCAGGCAAGGTAGAGGGGTCACTCTTCCAAGTGCTGCAGCTGGTGGGGGGGGGGGAGTCTTCCTGCTCTTATGATCCCAGGGCCAGCTCCTCCACCTGTTTCAGGAATTGATGGGCAGGGGTGTGGGTGGGGGTGAGGCCACCTCTCCCTTGCCCATGCCACCACATGTCAGTGATGGGGACAGCTCTCCCTTGCTCACAACACTGGGGCTGGGTCACCCTCACCTCCGACCAGCTCTGTTGTGCTGCCTAGGCGAGGAAAAGGGCCTGCTTTCCTGAGTGCTGCAGTTGGTAAGGGAGAGGGTTTGCTCCCTCCTCTGTTGCAGGCTGTAAGGGGCGAGGGGTAAGGGGGGCATCTCTCTTCCTCCCACACTACTTCATGACAGACGAGTAGTGGGGACAGCTCCTATGCTTACAACATTGGGGCTGGCTCACTTATACCTCTGCCAATAGGGTTGGCTCTACTGTGTTGCCCAGGTGAGGTGCAGGGCCTGCTCTCCCAAGTGTCGCAGCTGGTGAAGGGCAGGGATGGCTCTCCTGCTCTTGTGACTTCAGGGCCAGCTCTCCTATCTGCCTTAGGTGTTGGTGGATGGGTGAGTGGGGAGGGGAAGGAGAGCAATTCTCCCCAACTCATGCATAGCTTGCTATTTTTGAGTCACTGAAACAGTTTTAATTATCTGGCCTTGGGTTACTGTTAGCAATTTAAAAGCTGTGTAATGAGAAACCCAAATGTTATTAAATTCTGGGAGAAAACGAATGAAATTGGTTAGGGAAACCTAGATAGATTAATTTGCACCAGTTGAAAATGAGAAAATAAAATGATAAGACTTAGCTGGACACTGACTTGAGGGAATAGAAGTAGTAGATCTTTGTGTTGTATTTATTTCATTAAAAAAATGATAAATATGGATCTTTATCAAATAAAGTACAATAAACCTCCACATTTGCCTTAATTATCCCAATAACATATGTAAAATTTGGAGAACAAGAAATCATTTATATTAAGTACTACTTAGTTGTTTTCTTTTATACAAAGGATAATTATTTGCTTTCTCCTATTAAAACTATGTTTTGGATTCCACAGGACTATTTGGACATGTTTTCTGTTACTGCAAAAAACAAGTCCTAGAGATAAAGGGATTTAAGCAATACCTGGGTACTGCTTGTAGATCTGCAAGTCAGGAGTCCTGCCCTGGGTTCAGCTGTGTTCTCTGTTCAGCTTTTTATCAGGCTGAGCTCCAGGGGTCAGTCAGCTAGAGGCTCATCTGTCTCCAGAGGTCACCTGCCGTTTCTTGCCACACAACCCTCTCAAGGCCAACAGGAAAGCCTCTGCAGCTTGTGCTGAACCTCCCTAACTTCACCATGATTCACTTCTGGACCTGCTTTTATGTGGTTCACCTAGTTAGATCAGACTCACGGGAGACATGCAACCTTTAAAATCCAGCTGATTAACAATCATAGGCACTGATTATTCTGAAGTAAACAAAGTAGGGTTTAATTCATTAACTAAAACAGAAACCACAACTGCAGGTGATGGCGTGAAGGAGTTCTACAGAGCAGTTCAGCAGAGAAACTAAGAGGTGGTCCTGTGAAAGGGATATCTGGGCTGAGACCAGAGAGAGGCGAAGGAAGAACAGTCTGGGTGGCAGTTAGTGTCTGAAATAAATTCAAGAATAGGTTGTGTTGTAGAATATTATTTTAAGATGTGTTACATTTGTTTATGCCGTGGCACATCTGTTTAATGATGCAACGATTTGTTGCATTATTTTTTATGTTGCACTTGTTTAACTCTGTGAAGCTGTGTTACTGTGCCTGTCTAAAACACCTGATGGTCTAATGGAGCGCTGAACAGCCAATAGCGAGGCAGGAGAGAGAAATAGTCAGGACTGGCAGGCAGAGAGAATAAATAGAAGGAGAAATCTGGGAAAAAGAAGAAAAAGCAAGACAACAAGGAGAGGTGGACATTAGGGCCAGTCACACAGCCACACAGCCAGTCACGAGTAAGAAGTAAAGAAAGGTATACAGGAATAGAGAAAGATAAAAAGCCCAGAGACAAAAGGTAGATGGGATAATTTAAAGTTAAGAAAAGCTGGCTAGAAACAAGCCAAGGTAAGGCCGGGCATTTATAATTAAGAATAAGTCTCCATGTGTGATTTATTTGGGAACTGAGTGGCAGCCCCCCTGCCCCCCCCCAAAAAAAAAGAAGAAAAACAACCAACAACAAGGTTGTCTTCCTAAAGTGAATTCTTTTAAAATCTATTTGTTCTAACATTTCTGGATACCTTGTGTGTTCCATGAGTTCCAGATGCCAAAGCTATTTTCTTTTGCCTTCTACAAGGGCCCTCCAAGCCCTCCATCCCCTCAACCACAATCGGTAGGATTAATGACACATGAAAATGTGTCATTATACAAATATGCTCTTGTATCATTGATATGATGTTTGAGCAGTGCATCACAATCATTACCCAACTGCATGCACTAAAAAGCCTTTTTATGCATGGGTAAGTTTTACAGGCAAATGTGAACTTAAAAGTCAGTATATTTTAGACAAGAGAGAAAAGCCTATTTGTTATTGTTTGTCTTTTAACACAGTCTTGCTATTACAGGTGCAGGTCACCACGCCCAATTTAAGGCTTTTATTTCAAAGTGGTTTCCTTTGAAGTTTACTTCAGTGCACATCCTACTGTTGTATCCCTAGGTTGGGGATATTGCTCACATTCGCAAAAAATTTCAGTACATTGAGCTTCACTGAAAGAAAGTCAGGAACATGGAAGTTGTAATTTTGGTGTTCATTTCCTTCCTATCCATCATTCTCTTCCTTCCACTCAATTAATAAATAATTCAGAAATACCTGAAAATCCACATCAGAAATGTTGCTCAACCCTATCTTACTTCATTGTCCCAAGGATGCCTTCCTTCATTCAAAGCTTTTCTTCTGATCCCTTGAATAATCTTTGCTGGTCTTCCTACTAATTACCTGTTCTCATTCTCTTCTTCTACATAGTTGCCAAATTACCTTCTGAGAATTGAAAAAAACAAAGCAAAACAACAACAACAAAAAAAACCAACTCATTTTTTCCCTCCTGCATTCTAGTGGGACAGAATTGGCCAAGAACAAACAAACAAACACCAAACTTAGAAAACAAACTGCCAAACTTCCAGACAGACATGTGACAATGAGTCAAAAAGAAAGAAAGAAAGAAAAAAAAGGCAGGGTAATAAGTACAGTAGAGGGAGTGATTTTAGATATACGGTGATGTAAGTGCTATTACCCCCAGCTAAAGACATACCTAGTCAAACACAGTTGAGATTAATGTCTTGTTGCAAACAGGCAACCAGAACATGAGATATTGCAGCAACTCTTACTAAGAGAGCATTGGAAAGACTACGGAATCTGGCTTTGGGGGTTATTCTGAGGGCGGTAGAGGATGTTGGAGAGCAGAAGAGCTTCTAGGAATAGATATTTTGACATGTATTATCCAGAAGACAAGAAGAATAGAGCAAAGCTGTCATTTTAAGTGGTCAGAAAACAGGAGTCACTTACAATAGCTACATGTTCAGCTTTGTGGTTTAGGAAACCCAAATACTAGAGTTTGTTATGCCTGTCACCATAAAGGCCAATGAGCAGTTAGGAATTAAACATTTAAGCTGGCTCTGTTGAGATCCAGTGCTCTGACAGGGCAGCAGACCACTACCTTAAAAGAAATAACTGCTGTATCTCCTCTCCAGCCAGCCGATTACACAGGGAGCTGCTGAAGGATGGGTACATAGTCTTCATCTAGAAATCTTGTTTTTTCCCTTGTCACCCAGATCTATGAACTTTGTGATGTCTGTGTCTCTCATTTTATGGACATCTGGCTCCAGGCACTTTTGAAATGCTCAATCTTAAGTGTTTTAGATATCACCCTTTTACTCCTCTATAAGTCTCTGGGCTGGGGGCAGGGATTAACTCAGAACAAGCCATTTGCAGTGCCTAAAAAGCTATTAAACGCATGTATGTGCAAACTCCTTTCTACAGTATCAGGTACAAATATGCCCTTACAACACAGAATACAAAGGTGTCTTTAGTCAAGCCTCCTGCCCACTGTAAGTATGGAGGATGCTGGTGTGTTTGATGTATTCAGACATGATTGTGGAGAGTTTTTTTTTCTCACTTTCTCTACTATGGCCACAGTGGTCTACGTGACATTGATGTTTGGTGATTGTTTATGCTCAAGAGACCATGTAACTTAGCTGACAATGCCAGGCCAGATGTTGGCAGGACTACCAAGGGTTAGCTGAAAGGACCAGTCTAGTCTCTGTCTACACAGGCTTATGGGGTTTATTAGTTTTTCTTTAATATTTAACTGCCCAAAACGGTCTCTAATCGCAATGTATTAACTCTTGCTCATGGTTTTGTTTCTTGTGTTACTCTTTAGGGTACTGAGTTCCTACAGTTTCGGTGACTATGTTAGTTACTTCTCCATTGCTTTGATAAAAACGCCATGACCAATGCATCTCATAGAAAATGTGTTTGGGTTTACAGTCTCAGGATTAGAGTCCTAAGGGAAGGGCTTACGTTCTGAAGGACAGGCTGGAAGCAGAGTGTGAACTGGGAGTGTTGTGAAGTTCTGAAACCTCAAAGCCTGCTCCCTACCTTTCCATCAAGCTCCACCCCCTAAACCTAACCCCAACAGCACCAGCTGGGGTCCAAGTATTTAAATGTCTGAGACTACGGGAGGCATTTATCATTCAAACCACAATGACAATAACAGCATTTACCCTTCCCCCTGTAAATGTCAGTAGCCCAGGCAAGCCTTGAACTGTGACAATTTTCCTGCCTCACCCTCCTCAGTGCTGGGATTACAGGTGTGAACCCCTAGACTGAGAGCTGTACTATCGTGAAGAGTTAAGTGGCAATGCTAAACTGAGGAATTTTTTTTCCTTTCAAGATCTAAGTGGGTGAAGGGAGGGGGTGAGAGCAGAGAGATTTCTTAACTGTCCAACATAGATGTCACTTCTCATGAAGGCAGAGTGCAGCCAGGAGACCAAAGACAGTATGTTCATTGCTGACTGGCTCGGGAATTGTAATAAAGTAGCTACTGTAAATTTCAGAAACTTCAAAAGTCTCAGACTCATCTGTTCAACTCATTTTTAAAAATAGGAATCTGAAGTTAAGAGTACATATGTAGCTCTGATGGGCCCGCACGGTGCCAGGCTCTCTATAAAAGACTAGCTAAAATCAGGAAGACACTCTTGGGTTCTAACTCCACGGTCTGATTCAACACACATTTGTGAGATTCATTCATATTCTATTTTATTTTTAATTCATGAGTAGTGTTGCACTGGGTGAATATTCCAACTTACTCATTCTCCCACTGATAGACATCTGGGCTTCTTGAGGATTTTGCTATCCTAAGTACAATTGCAATGAGCATTTTTGTACAAGTCTCTTTGTAGATAAAGGGTTTTATTTCTCTTGGCGAATACAAGATGTGGGATTGATGTGTCAAAGGGTAGGTCTGTGTTTGACTCACATGAATCTGACGGGGCCATACTTTCCAACAGTTGAAGAACAGCCTTTTTTTTTTTGCTCAAGGAATAGCCAAGTGGAGACAGCAAAGGATCTATAAGGCCTTAACTCTGCCTGTCACTAGTGAAGGTCTGGAGCCCTGGAAGACTCCCTCCCCTGATACCCACTATGGCCACATGGGTAATATCTAGAGGAAAAAGGAGTTCAGGCAGCACAATCTATTGCAACAGGTATGTGAGTCTCTCGGACAAATCTTTGTTTCTTGAATTCCATTTCATTATTATCAAGCCCTGGAAGTGGGATTTCTGAATATGTAGATTTAAAAGGGTGGTTTCTGAAAAAAGAGACCATTGTTAGCAAAAATCTGATGGTATGTCAGGGTGGAGCCACATCCCCAGCCTTCTTCTTGGTAGCTTTCAAAGACACCCACCACTCTTCTTCAGCAGGCAGTGGGCCTTCATTTAATGGAAACTAGGAACTTCCAGAAACAGGATTTACCCTATTTCTTTCCAAACTTGGTTTCCTTTCCTCCTTCCTCCAGTCACAACGAAGACATTCTTCCTTTTCCTCTTCATTTCCATTCTCCCGCTTTAGAACCGTTACTATGGTTTGAAAGTCCCCTCCAAGACTCACGCTGAAATCTGCCCCTGCAAACAGTGTGGCTGCAACATTACTAAGAGTCGGATCCTTTAAGAGTTGATGAGGACATTGGAGTCCTCAGGACTGGATTGCCACCACAAGAATGGGTTCCTCATAAAAACAACGACGGATTGTCTCCTGCCCTGCCACTTAGCTGACACTGCGCGATGTTACTCCCCTTTCCAAAGCCCCCCCAGAACCAAGAGGCAGATAAACTACTGTTTATAATTTAACCAGTCTATAGTATTGTTTTTTGCAGCAGAAGAGACTAAGACAGCCATCCCTACCTTCTCCCTGTGAAAGCTAACCGCTCCATACCAGGGAACCTGTTACTACCGTATCTGCCAGGATCAGTGTAATTAAGATTTCTAAAGGGTCAGCTGCAAGCTTACTTTCCCACCTTGGTCACCAAAGCCTGACGTGTGGGCACCGCACGGGCCTCCATATCGTGGACAAACTGGGATTTCCAAGGTGCCAACAGTAACACTGATCCTGAAGCCTGGAATGTTGGATGACTCCTTGTGTTGAGAAACTACCTTGCAGCATACATGGGTAATCTGATACGTGCTCTCACCTTGCAACTGTGTGCAAAGGCAGCAGCAGCAGCAGCAGCAGCGTGCAACAGGTACCCAGACAAAATGAGGACCATCAGTGGTGTCGCACAACTAACGGGTCCTCACTGGACTGCCACCCATCACCCAAGGGCGGCGCATGTGTCACTCCCTCCGGGCTCTCCACCGCCGCCTTTCCGGGAAAACTGGCTCTTGGGTTCCCAACGGGCCTCCGTTGCGGAGTCCCGGGGCCGAAGGTGGGGTGGGAAGTGAAGGGGGAAGAGCTCAAGCCGCGCCTGGCCAATGGCAGCTCTTGAACTTACACCTCCAGACGTCAGTGCGGCCGTGGAAACGGATGTCACACAGCTGGCTCGGAAGCCTCTCCCGCCCGCCCGCCCGCCTCTGGAGAGGGGCGTGCACCCCGAGGCCGCCGAGCGCCCCGGGCGCGCGCACGGCCCCGTCAGCGAGCGCGCGCGCGCGCCTCGAGAGGCCCCGCCTCCCCCGCCGCCTGCGCTCGCCCAGGGTGAACCCCTCCGCGCGCCCCCGCCCTGGGCGCGCCCCCGCGGCCGGCTCCGCCCCCCTCCCGGAGCGGGCGGCGCGCTCCTGCGGCGGCGGCGAGCCGTGTCGCGGGCGCGCGCGCCGCCGCCGCCGCCGCCGCCGCCGCCGCCGCCGCCGGCCGAGCCGCAGTTAAAATGGTCCGAGGCGGGCCCGGCGTCTCCCCCGCCCGGCGCGGCGCTGACTGACCTGACTCACTGAACCGGCTGGCCCAGCCGGCAGACTCGCCTCCCTCCCTTTCGCGTCCCCACAGCTCGCGCCCCTCTCGTTCTCCCGGCTCCCGGGAGACCCAAGCATGTTGCCCGCGTCGGGCACCCGGGCGGCCCGCGGCTGACGCTCGCCACCCCCACCCCCCCACTCTCCCCCGCCCGCTCGCCCGCTCGCCCGCCCGCCCGCCGTCGCGTGTGCCGGGTGCGCAGCGCGGGCGACCCCGCGGCGGGCAGAGGCCCGGCCAGCCCAGCGGCCTGCCCCGCCGCCGCCGCCGCCGCCGCCGGAGCCCGCCCCTCGGGCCTCCCCTCCCGCCCCGTCCCCGCTCGCCCTCCTCGGGGGCCTTTCTATATGGGCCACCTTCTCTCGAAGGAGCCGCGTAACCGCCCGAGCCAGAAGAGGCCTCGCTGCTGCAGCTGGTGCCGCCGCCGGCGCCCTCTCCTTAGACTGCCCCGCCGGACTCCGGCCAAGGCGTCCCCGCACCCCGCGGCGGCGCCCCGGAGCCGGGACTGCTTTTTCCGCGGGCCCTGCATGCTCTGCTTCATCGTGCACAGCCCCGGCGCGCCCGCCCCCGCCGGCCTAGAGGAGGAGCCGCCGCTCTCGCCGCCGCCGCCGCCGCCGCCGCGGGACGGGGCCTACGCCACCGCCGCCGTCTCCTCGCAGCACCTGGCGCGGCGCTACGCGGCCCTGGCCGCCGAGGACTGCGCCGCCGCCGCCCGCCGCTTCCTGCTGTCCTCGGCCGCCGCCGCCGCCGCCGCCGCCGCCGCCGCCGCTTCGGCCTCGTCGCCCGCCGCGTCCTGCTGCAAGGAGCTGGGGCTGGCCGCGGCCGCCGCCTGGGAGCAGCAGGGCCCGAGCCTCTTCCTGGCCAGCGTGGGGCCCGTGCGCTTCCTGGGACCGCCGGCCGCCGTGCAGCTCTTCCGGGGGCCGCCGCCGCCCCCGCCGCCGCCGCCGCCGCCTCCTCCTCCGCCTCCGCCGCCGCTGCCGCCGCAGGCCGAGTCCCCTACGGTCCTCGAGATGGTTTGCAAGCGGAAGGGGGCCGGGGTCCCCGCCTGCACCCCCTGCAAGCAGCCCCGCTGCGGCGGCGACGGCGGCGGCGGGGGCTGCGGCGGGGGCGGCGGCGGCGGGGCAGGAGGAGGAGGAGGAGGAGGGCCCGCGGGGGGAGGTGCCTCGCCGCCGCGGCCGCCCGATGCCGGCTGCTGCCAGGCCCCGGAGCAGCCCCCGCCGCCGCCGCCGTCTCTCTGCCCCGCGCCCGCCTCTCCCGCCTCCGAGTGTGCCCCGATCGAGGCCGCCGGGGATGCTGTCCGAGCTGGGGGCGCCGCCCCCTCCTCGTCCACCCAGCAGCAGCCGCACCAGCAGCAGCAGCAGCAGCAGCCAGAAAGTGGCGACGCGGACTGTCAGGAGCCCCCCGAAAACCCCTGCGACTGTCACAGGGAGCCGCCCCCCGAAATCCCAGACATCAACCAACTGCCGCCGTCCATCCTGCTTAAGGTGGGTCTGGGCGAGAGGCGCAGGGATGCTCGCTTTCCCCGAACCCGGCCCCCCACCCCCGCCTCCGAGGCTCTCTCTCTCTCCTCCCCTTGTGTGCAGAGGAGGGGGGTTCCTTGACAGCCGGGGGACGCCGGAAGGGGAGACTAGGAAGCCAGTGGGGCCTGAGCTTTCAGCCTGGTTTTGAAGTAGAAAAAGTTGGGAGTTTGCCAAATGCCTTGTCGTAGCTTATGCCTGTTATCCACACCTCGGGGCTCATGTATTGCATTAACAGCCCCCCGATGTAGAAACTACTAGATTTCTGTGGGATCTACGTGCGTTCTTGAGCAGTGTGTGCAGAGTGGGGCTCGACTTGGCATCGTGGTGTTTGAAAGTTTTCAAGTTTTGATAGCTGCTCGGAAGTGGCAGTGACTTCCTTTCTGTTAAGCACTTAGCGTGATCAGTCACTGTATCCGAGCTTTCTGTATTACAGATCTCATGGATTTCTCCAGTTGATGGTGTGAGATAAGTCCTGTTAATATGTACTATACGCAAAAAGAAACGGACATTTTCAGTGTTTTGGGGCAGATGACATAGATTGGTTAGCCTGGAAGAGGAGGAGTTTTGATTCTCTTGTGAAGGTAACAGTCTAGTTGGGCTTGAAGTTGTTGAATGGTTCGTTCAAGGTCACACCCATAAATTAAAGGACACACTTGGGTTGTGAACTAGGGAGTTTTGGCTAGCTTGACTTGAACCAAAGCCAGCCCAACCACCCTGTTGTTGACGCTGGTTTTCCTTCCTACCGTCTTTACCTTTATATACAAACTCGAATTATTACCACAAGTCAGAAGTCCTTTTTTCTTAGGGGTGGAGTGAGTGCAGTGTTGAAGTGCCTGGTGGGAACTTCATGTCACTTTAAATTACCAAGTCAGAGTTCCAGTTTGGTCAGGACAAACTTGGTGATAGAGTTTGTATTACATTATTAACTTCTTTTCCCCCCTTGTTTTCTGTCTTTGTTAGCACACCTCTTTCAGTGTGGATGCTATTTAAGTAAGACTAGCCAGAAATAACCTTCAGGAGAATTTGGCTACTTTTATTGTTACTGAGGTAACTGTCACGAATTACAATTATTCCTGTCCCTTCAGTGTACCTTATTTGATGAGACTTTTTTGCATATTTATACTTCTGTGTTTGGATCTGTTTCACTGTGACATCGATGCTCTTGTGAACAATACAGCAAAAGTGTGGGCAAGTTTACCATTACCTTGTGTCAAACTGTGTTGATTTAATTATGCAGGTGTATTCTTTGGAGGAGTAACTATTGTGTGTGTGTGTATGTGTGTGTGTGTGTGTGTGCAAGGGATGCATTTGAGGGTAGAGGAAACTTTCTCAAGTCCTTTCAATCACTGGATGACATGGATAAATAAAGCGTCAGCAAACATTTGGTAGAAGTTTCATGGCTGTCTTATTTGACAAGTCAGACTTGTAGAAGCAAACTGAGATAAACTAAGACTTTTCTCACTTTGCCTAAGTCCTTCTATCATGAAGAAAAGGGCATTGTTCATTATCTTTTCTGGTTTATTGTGACAGAGTCTCACTGTGCAGCTCAAGCTGTCCTCCTCATTCTTGTTCCTCTGCTTCAGCAGTTTGAGTGCTGGGCTTACAGGTGCACACCACCATGCTAGTGTAGAACATGTTAAATTTTAAGTAAGAAGAAGGGGTGTTATCTCATAATAAAGGGAAACTCTAAAGGGGAAATTATCTACTATGTTCTATTTTTTTTTTCCCCCAAGAATTGTTGAAAACTTGGTCCGGGAGACATTTAGGACTTGCTTGTTGTGTTGGAGTATTTGGACATGGTACATAGATTCCTATTCTTTGTGCTAGAAGCTTGAATAAAGAGTCTCAGTCTGAGTATCAGGTCCTAGTGGTATTCCACATGAAGTGAGTTGGGCCAGGATGAATTGGAGGGATTTTCAATGTCTGCCAACCCACGTAGAACTTGTAAAACAGTGGCTTTGTGAATTCACGTCTTGTTCATTGGTCTAGGTCCCCGCTACATACACTGTCGTAGTTCTGAATGAATGAATGAGTGAGTGAGTGAGTGAGTGAGTGAGTGAGTGATCAGAGTCTGGGTTGGGATTCAGTATGCATGAGTATGCTGTGCTGCTAAGGGAAGGTTATGGCTGACATGAAGTTGAATCACGTTAGAGCTGTAGAAAGCTGGAGGTGTTCTGACTCTGGTAAGGACCTGAGGTGTTTGCTTTGGGGTGGAAACCTTGGAAGCCATGGCAACTTTTCTTCTCCCTGTGTTAGGCAGGTTATGTCTGGAGAGGCACAGATTCCATCTCCCTGAGAGTGGGTTAGTGATTGTATTGCTGCTGCTGCTGCTGCTACTTCTCCTTCCTCCTCCTCCTCCTCCTCCTCCTCCTCCTCCTCCTCCTCCTCCTCCTCCTCCTCCTCCTTCTCCTCTTATTCCTCCTCCTTTGTAAATTATTAAAAAAAAATGGAGGTTAGGGAGGAAATAGGATTTAAAGGAAGTTTTTTTGGGAAAAGCCACCATGCTTGACCAGTTTCTTCCAAGTAGTGCAAAGTCACAAACTAGGCTGCTTGTGACTCTCTTTATTTTAGTGGTAAATGCACCTTTCCTTGAAGTGTTCCAGCATTGCCAACCAAGACAGAGTTTGCTTTGCTTCAGCCGAACCTGGCCATTTCATTGTGTCTCCCCGAGCTGGAGTAACCACTGTTGACAGTTGAGCTTCCTTCTCTAGATCCACACCATCTCGTGTGTTAGCCACTAGCTCATGTGTGTACATTTACAACGGTTAAATACAACTTAACATTCAGGTGGTTTTCAGTGATACGGGTCAGATTTCAGAAGTCCACAGTCACATGTCCTCAGTGCCTCCTCTACTGGACTGTGCTGTATAGGACATTTCCTTCATTGCAGAAAGAGCTGTGTACTCTTAAGCTCCCCCCCACACCTCCCCCCCTATGCTCATGGCATCAAATTGTCCATGTGCTGTAATTGTTATGGCTAATGTTATTTGGAAGTCCTTTTTTCTGTACCATATACTTTCTTTCTAAACCACTGCTTACTATCCCATAGTATTAAATCGCCTTCTGTTAAGAGATAGTTCCAGTTTTATTTTTGCTACTAGAACTATTATGTATGCAGATACACCCATGGTAATAATTTCAAGG